GAGGAGGAGGAGCGAGGAGGAGGAGCGAGGAGGAGGAGCGAGGAGGAGGAGCGAGGAGCCAGGAGGAGGAGCTGAGATACTTACATGGTGGAGTGGGAGGCGGAGGTGGAGGATGAGGGACGGTCAGAGCCCCGAGTCATCAGGGCGCTGGGGGCGGCCAGGGGCCACTGCAGTCTATAGCGCTTCGGGGGCCCAGACCGAGGGTACCCCAGGACCGCAGCTGTCCTGGATACTTCGGGCGTCCAACCCTCCCGAATTCGGGTGCGGCAAAGAGGGGGGTGATCACTAGGGGGGGAGGTGGATATCATGGCGGGGGCCATGATATCTCCCCAGAATTCATGGTGCCTTTTCTTACTTCGTTACGCCCCTGGCCCCCCCGCTGGGCCGCGCACATGCCGCCAGTCATGATTTGCACCCCCCCCTCTTGGACACCCCCCTCTTGGCCGCTCCCGACGCATCGTCGGTGCTGGGGGCGGCCAGGGGGAACCGCAGGTTCGCGCCCCGGGGGCTCAAACCGGAGTTACCCTGGGCGGCAGCTGTCCCGGAGATTCCGGGCGTCCAAGACGGTGCGTTTTTGTGTGTGGTTTCGGTGGTTTTCCAGTTTCGGGATGCCAGAGGCCGATGGCGATCCCCCCTCCCTGGTCCTCCTCTCCGAGGCGAGGGTCAATCCATGTCCGCCGCCAGTTGGGTTCGGAGGACGTCAGGCTCACAGGCGGTGGACATGTGCTTATATACGTAGCACCCCGCAACTGCGGATAAGAGTGAGAGGGCGGGCGCGGGCGACGCGGGCGTCGAGCCGGCGGACCTCGTGGCCCTCACCTTCCCTGTCGATGGCGCCCTCCTCTTGCTCCTCCTGCTCCTCCTCCTCTTCCTCGTCCGCGTCATCGTCCTCATCGTCATCGTCGTCGTCGTCCGCCTCCTCCACCTCCTCCTCCTATTCCTCCTTTTCCTCCTCCCGCTCCTCCTCCTGCTCCTCCTCCTCCTCTTCCTCCCCCATCCCGATCCTCCCCCCTCCTCCTTTCCGTCGTCGGCGTCCTCCTCCCCCTCCTCCTCCCTCCTTCCTCGTCGTCCCCCTCCGTCCCCCCCTCCTTGTCCTCCTCGCCCTCGTCGTCGGCCCCCTCTTCGTCCTCGTACTCGTCGTCGTCGTCGTCGTCGTCGTCGTCGTCGTCGTCGTCTTCCTCCTCCTGCTCCTCGCCCTGCTCCTCCTTCCCTCCTCCGCGGAGCGCGCGCGCGCGCCGGGTGGGTGGGTCGCGGGCTTGTTCAGTGAACGTAGTTTGGGTCGCGGGTGTGTCGCGGGCTCTCCACCTCCACCTGGAATTCAAAAGCAGCCCGCCGCAGGCGCCGAAAATTCTGATTTGTACTCTGAACGCGGTTTGGGTCGCGGGTGGGTCGCAAGTTCTCCACTTGGAACGACTGGAAAAGAAGCCCGCCGCAGGCGCCGAACATTTTCGGTGGGTCGCGGGGTGGGTCGCGGGTGGGTCGCGGGTGGGTCGCGGTGGGTCGCGGGGTGAGTCGCGGGCGCGGTTTGGATCGCGGGTGGGTCGCAGGTTCTCCACCTGAAAGAATGGAAAAGAACCCCGCCGCAGGCGCCGAACATTTTGGGTGGGTCGCGGGGTGGGTCACGGGTGGGTCGCGGGTGGGTCGCCAGTGGGTCGCGGGTGGGTCGCCGGGGGAGTCTCGGGGCGGGTCGCGGGTGGGCATCTCACTCGCGCCGAGCACGGTGGCCCCAGAACCGTGCTCTGGAACCCCAGTCCCGCAGGTTCCGAAGCAGCGCCCCCCAGCGCTCTGGAACCAAGCGCGCGGTTCCAGAGTGCCGCCGCTGACATATACCCAGGGGGTGGGGCAGGAAACAAAGGCTGCATAATCAGTTGACCGTCGCCGAAGATCGTGCAACATCCTGGCATGTGCCACTCAAAAAAGCAAGCACAACATGCTAAGCATGAGTTGCAAAAACGTAACGCGCGCCCGAAAATATTGAGAACGTCGCTTAGCATTCATGCTCGCTATGCCATGGGTACGCCACAAAACGCGCAACTTGAACCAGGAAATTTAGGCATGTATCGCTTAGATCGCATGCGTGCTATGCAATGCCTGGGTCGCAAAACGCGCTGCATGTGAAGAAACAACTGGCATGCATCGCCTAGGTAACACGCGTCCTATGACATACATGGGGTGCAAACGGCGCAGCGTGGTGCCAGGAATTATGGCTTCCACATTCTCAGATGTATTGCGGCTATGTCATGCCAGCATCACAAAACGCGCAAAACTCGCCAAACGATCAGGCATCGACGTTTCACAAACACAGAAAAAGACGCGGTCATGTCATGCCCGAGCTTGTGAGTTTGACACGTGCCGTCGTTTTTGGCCGTGTGTGCGCCGCAGAGGACGGAGAAGGAGGAGGAGAAATGGGGAGGATGGTGAGAGGGATGCGGGAGGAGGAGGAAGCAGGAGGAGAAGGGGGAGGAGGAGGAGGAGGAGGAGGAGGAGGAGGAGGAGGAGCAGGAGGAGGAGGAGGAGGAAAATGAGGAGGAGGATAACGAGAATGACGAGGAGGGGAAGAGGAGGGCGAGGAGGACGACGAGGATGATGATTATTGGGTGGGGGAGGACCAGGACGAGGTGGGCGAGACCGATGAGATTCATTGCGGCCATCCGCATTGCGTTTCGTGATACAGAGGTGCCAAGATGAGATAAAAGGCCCTGGGCACAATTAGCTACTCAAAGGTATCTTTTGCAGCCTTGCCTT